GCCTGAACCCGGCTCGTACTACACTCACCTCGGGGCGGCCGCGAGCCTGCCCGACCTACGGAACGATCTTGAACGAAGAACTGGCCTTAAGGGAAACGCCATTAGATTCGAAAAGGTGATCTACACGGGAAAGGAGGGGAAAACCACCCAGGGATGTCCGATGGCTAAGTGGGTAAGCGAAATTAAACCGGTCGCGTCAGGTTCAAAGCGAGCTTCTTCCCGCTTCGATCATCTCAACCCCGTGATTAATTATAGTGAACTTCCACGCGTGTACACATCCATAACCGTATCTGTATTTTAAATTTAGTTGTGCGTTTGTTAATTTCGTATTACCGTGACGGATTATTATTATTATTACTATTATTATTATTATTACGATTATTATTATTATTATGATTATTATTATTACGTCTATTATTACTATTATGATTATGATTATGATTATTATGATTATTGTCGATTATTATTGACTGTTAACCAAATATTCGATGTAGCTCAATTTAAGGGATAAGCAAGTGCGTCATTGGGCCTCGAGTTTTCGAGGCGATCTATTATGCATCTGCAAAGATGATGCATGAATCTTTTTATGAAATTTTGTCGAGTAATGATGGTATATGCATGTATACATATACATATACATATATATATATATACATATGATTGAATCAATGATTGGTAATGACAATTTACCCTGTCGATGGTTGATTTGTACGTATTTTGTAGATGTAATCGCGTAGTATCGAAATTCGAACGACACGGCGGTACTTAAATGGAATACTAAGACCGTTTCAGATTACGATTTCGAATAGTACATTGTATCATGAGGAAAGGATTTAATATATTCGATCGATTCGTGGTAGTAACTGAATATTTATTTCACGCGTAGCCGATATTTTAAGCCGTTTGATCTTTGTTAGCTGGTAAGAGACGGTTTAGAACGATACTTGTCCGAAAAAGGAACGTTTTGTAACTCTCGTAATTCGAACACGATTATATACGATTCTTTGACTGGACAGTAAACGTAACTGAATCTCATAGGTTTATTTTATCTTAGTACACATTTTTTATCTGAAATATTTAACGTGACAACCACACGCGAAACAGTGAATAAGTAGCAGAACGTATACAAGAAATCGGCGCCACCGATCCTTTCGAATACTCATTCGATAGTAAGTAGGGTCTTGAAGCTTTGATTATTTAATTAGTTCTCTTTAATGATTTTTTTTAATAATTATTTAATGCTTAGGAAGTAAGTAGCAAATAAATACCAATAAACGCATAGTGAAACGAGTATTTACTACCGAATGGCAAATATGAAACGCATTAATATATTGTCAACTATCCGAGTACGCTGAACTGTCCTTTGTAAAACCCTCGACGGGACGTGAGAATCAAATAAATTGGCTTTTCTTTTCAAAAATCTGAGGTCTGAAACTACCCTATCAAGCTTTTCTGCCTTTCTTCCCCAACCAATCATAACCTATGCGCGCCGATCCAACCACCCCCGCAAAACCGAGTTAAATGAATCGCTTTGAATCGTCCGCTCGAGTTTCTCTGTCTGTTGCCACGATTGGTGATGGGATTGTAATATCAGTGATTCGCTAGATAATCCGACGATCCGGTCTGGAGGAGAAGATTCTGACCATAGTGAAACACCGGCAAGGACACAAGTGCCCGACAGCCTGGATAGTGGTCGCGATGGTTGCCTGGGAAGGCGTGCCGACCCATGAAGCCGATCGGATCTATTCGTTGTTGAGTCACAAACTGAACCGATTCGGCCTGCCTACCACCAGAAGATGCGGGACTAACGAGCCGAGAACCTGCGCCTGCCAGGGCCTCGACCCCGACACGTGCGGCGCGAGCTTCTCCTTCGGCTGTTCTTGGTCCATGTATTATAACGGCTGCAAATACGCCAGAAGCAAAACCGTCCGTAAATTTCGACTGTCAGTACGATCGGAGGTGAGTTTATCTTGATTTTTAATGAATCTTTGAAAACAATGAACCTTTGTATTAAGAACAATTCCATATTTCATGGTATATTTGTTCATGTATTTCTGTGTTTCTCGGTTTTTATATTTTCGTTGGTTCAAGGAAGTTTGTCGAGTCCTTCTATTAGTATAACATGGAATTGAGAGCGTTATTTAATTTGTTTTCGTATCGGTAATAATTGTAGTGGATGATGATAAATCCATTGTAAACCTATCGGAAGGTTAACTCCAGTTAAGGAAGTCAGTGCTTCTCTTCCGGGACAATAATGCAATGTCCGCCTGTTGCTTTCTAGGAGCAAGAAGTCGAAGAAAGAATGCACGTCCTGGCGACGCTATTGTCGCCTCTTTACCTCAGCCTTGCACCAGAAGCCTTCAACAATCAAACACAGTTCGAACGCGAAGCAAGCGAATGCCGTTTAGGATTCAAGCCTGGCCGACCGTTTTCCGGCGTTACAGCCTGCATCGACTTCTGCGCGCACTCTCATCGTGACCTTCATGACATGAACAACGGATGCACTGTAGTGAGTAATGCAAAGTCAAAATTATCATTTGGAAATCAATAAAACTGTCGGAAGCAGATAGTAAAGTGAATTAAATTTTCAGGTGGTAACGCTGACGAAACACCGGACTTTATCTAAACCTGAAGATGAACAGTTACACGTACTACCTCTTTACATAATGGATACCACTGATGAGTGCGGGTCGAAGGAAGGACAGGACGAGAAGGTTCGCGCTGGACACGTAGAAGTTTTAACGAAGTAAGGAAATTTCTTTTTTGCGAATATTATTTTTTAAACGTTAACGCCATAATTACGTAGTTTAAATAGTAATTAGATAGTCTGTATTTTAACTGCTATATCCTAGTGACATTTTCATTTTGATTTTAAACTATTCAAACATTTAAAGATAATCATTTGTAGCTAGTCTTCAAATTGGCTAACTAGTCAATTTAACTAAAGAAAATCATTATTTCCAGATATCCCTGTGAAGTGAGAGTCCGATCGGTTCCCCTCCAACCATGCCGGCGCCACGGGAAGAAGCGAAAAGAAGACGAGCCGGATACGGTGAGCAACAAGAAAGACAACTCAAAGGGCGGCAACGAGAAAACACCAGATCCGGCACGTGTACCTGGCCACCAAGATCCTGCTAGGTCTCAAATGAGGGATCCACAGCTGTCCCTGGAAATGGCGTCGATGTTTGAGGGGATGGACGCACAGTTACAGAGCTCTCAGGTGTCCTCGACGGTTCTGGACAGTCCTGTGTCGATGTATCAAGGTTGGGGCTACCAGAACGAGCAGCAGTGGAGCAGGAACGGTTGGCTCGACCAACGAAAAAACAACTGGTTGAATCCGTGGGGCGAGTACTCATTCGGCGGATTAGACCGAGACACAAAGGTGGACCCGGATAGCACCAGTCTGGACGACATAAGACCTAGAAGTGCGGTATCCCAAGAAGAACATCGACCGGGCTCTAGAAATTTACCAAATTCCACCATGGATTCGCCTAGGAACTGCTACCCGCATTCGCCCAGAGCACACCCGGTATCACCTAGAAGTTCACACGCGGGTACACCGGGTGATCCATACACCATGTCGCCCAGAGGTTGTCCACCAACACCGCAGGACCAAAGAATGACGTCACCAAGGAGCTCGTACCCAGAGACAAGTTACCCGCCGTCCAGGAACTATCAAAACATGTATGATAACAGACAGAGTAACGCATCTCCTAAGACTGGCTCGTATCCGCCTCACCTGGACCAAAGGGGCGGACACCTGATTCGATCCAATCAACCACACGGCTGTGCACCGAATAATTTCCGGAACATCGGACAAGCTTGCGACCAAACGAAACCACCGTTCCCGAAGCCACCGCAAGATTCTAGTCACAAGTATCCCGTGTCGCAGATCAATTACCTAGAGGCTCCTAAGTCGCAGGCTGAAGCTTCGTTCGCGAACAGGATTCAGGGCCACTACCCTACAGCCCATGCTGTTCAACCAGCCAGGAACTTCCCGTTTCAGGGTCAGCACAACGACCATAGCGACGCGTTCACCGGCGGTCTCTCAGTGTCCTCCTGTATGGACGGGAACGCTAGTCACAAGCCGTTCGGTGCGGCTAATCCAGATCTCCTGTTGCACGCCTCTGCACACCTGCCCAGTAATCAAGCGACTGATCCTCAAGGTTACGTGGATCAGAGGAAGTATCGTCAACAGAAGCCAGAACAGAAGCTTGGGATGAATCAGATGATGTCACCAGCACCGTCTGATCACGTGGCAGGAGGCGGAGCGGGTGGAACAGGGGGTTGGAACATGCTGGGCGGTTGGTATCCGGATCAGGCCAGATCCTACGATCAACAACAAAGTTACGGGAACCAGGCGCACGTCGAGAGGAATCATCAAACTCCAATCGATCATCAGAAATCATTGAATTGGAACGACAGAATGCAACAACCGGATCAATCGAAGCAGCACAGTTGGGAGCCACCGTCCGACCCTTCGCCATTCCGGGTACCTAAGGGCAGACCTCCGTCGAGGACCGCGTCCAACCAAAATCCGACAACTGACAATACATATCAGAACTCCTCTAACAGGACGTTCCTCAAGCCCCAGGACCCGGCGCGGAATGCATATGCTGATAGTCCCAGTAATCACGTGCAGAGCAGCGGCATGCATCCAAGCAACAACAATCAGAGGAGACCGGACTGGCCAGAGGAGAAGATGAAGGAGGGATTCCACGAGGCCAGACAGAACGCCGGGAACCCGAACTGCTGTCCGTGGCCCGAGGAGATGAAACAGGTGCAGGACTTCCATGCAATGCCCGGCTTGGGACACCCCCACGCTTCCTTCCCCCAGTACGGGTATCCCACCTATCCAGTGTTCGACAAACCATATTCAAACTCCTGGGAAGGCTACAACTACCATCAACCGTATCACGCGCAAACGGCGGAGTATCCGCCTCAGTTCTACCAGCAACCAAAGAGAGAAGCGTGCTTTCCCCCGGCACAGTACTCCTATCAAGGAGTGCCCCCGTATCAGAGCCTGAACCCTAGCTGGGCCAGGTGGGACACTCCTCGATGGGACATTTACGGGCCACCACCGTACTTCCCGGTGATACCAGAACCGCCTCCAAAAGCGGAGCCGCTGGGAGAGGTGGCCGACTACTCGGACAACGAAGAATGTTTCAAGGACTCTCAAATGGGCGGTGTCGCGATAGCACTTGGCCATGGTAGCGTGTTATTTGAGTGCGCGAAACACGAGATGCACGCGACCACGGCCCTGAAGAAGCCCAATCGCCTCAACCCCACCAGGATCAGCCTGGTGTTCTACCAGCACAGGAACCTGAACAGACCTAAGCACGGTTGGGACGAATGGGAGGAGAAGATGCGACTGAGGAAGCTAGGAGTGACAACCACAGCTGCCACTACTAGTACCAATAGCTCTACGACCGCGTCGCAGCCTTCAACACCGTCTACACCGACCAGTCCCGCGACCACCACCGAAAAGTCCGCACCAGTCCCACATGTGCCGAACGTTCCCAGCTCGCAGTTCATGATGAGATCGCCTACATACACCACGATGACCTGGACCACGCTGTTCCCGATGCACCCGTGCATGATAACCGGCCCGTATCAGGAAGGGGGCGCCATCGGATGAGTGATCGTCGGTGGCTACGGTTCGAGCCGTCGATGATGAACCGTGCCGTGGATCGATCGATCTCGATGAACCCTCCAGATCCCACGGAGGTGGACGCGTCGTCGCGGGACGGCTGACACAGTTCCGAATAAAAGAGGATTCGAAGCAGAGGATGAGAACACATGGGTACTTCTCCCGGAGGGATCAAAAGAAGCATCGTCGAGAAAGCAACGATGAAGCAACGTTGTTATAGTTGTGGCACCGAGGCGGGAGATATAGAAACACAGAAACGACACACACACTGTTTGCACTGCCATTTTTCTATTTCACGTTTTATCGGGGAGAGCGCCGCGAGGTTCAATGGACCGCCGGGGGAGACGACCGAAACGAAGAGAAAAAAACGAAGAAAATACGAGGACGGGTACACACAGAGCGGAGTTTTAAATATCGGGGCTTCCCATTTTTTGATATAACGAATCTTTTACACGAATCGTGAGAGGTGAGAGATCGGGCAATTAAGATTGGACGGACGGTCGTCGTCGTCGTCGATGTCGCCGTAGAGATTCAGCTTCCGGGACGCTCCTCGTAAAGAGGATAAAGAGCGGGATGCAGTCATGATGACGGAGAGACAGCTTTCAACGGATACTGCGAGGAACAAGCTCTGCTCGAGGTCGATCCACGGTAACCGGACGATAATTAATGCCGGACGCGATTTGCTAATGCGGATTAGACTTCGACAGGGTGGATGATGATGATGATGATGATGATGATGATGATGATGATGATGGTGATGATGATGATGATGATGGTGATGATGATGATGATGATGATGA